CTTTTAGCCTCCTTACAGCATGTTCGTTCATCACCCTCCTATAAAAAAGATTTGTTTTTGGCCTTTCTTTTCTATACTGGCAGTCATAAACCAAAAATACAGGTAGATGATCACTAATATCATTTATAAGTAATCCACTTGTCATTTTGCTTTCAATATCATTAGTAAATATATTATCTTTTAATGGTAAGATGATGTTATGGGGTAGGACTAGATAAGTCCAACTTCTTCCTACTCCGTTCAAGCAGGTACTAGGTATAAGCAAATTGATAATGGATTAGCATTTGTGGATATGTGTGAAATTATGTGTGTGGACATATCGACTGCTTGAAAGAATAAAATCAATCAATCAATAAGTCTCTGTGTGTGACTTACTGTGTCTGTTTAAATGATTAAAACAGACACACTGCACATCCCACAACAAACACTAATGAGTCCAATGAGACCAATTAGAGACAGGCTACTCTAACACCTTACCACTTTTAAGCAGGCTGCACCATAAAAATAAAAAATAAAAAAACAGTAAGAAACATCACATTAAATTCCAATAAACCATATGTCATGCTCATCACAGCTACTCAGCTGTGCAACTGCTAGCCCCTTTTCTTCCCATAATTTCCTTTACAGTATGACCAGACCTTCTACCTATTTAGGCCGTCAGTCTCTATAATAGGTAATACATATGTTTTAACTATTTCCTGAACCTAGTCTCTGGACCCATGCTGTGTATCAAAAAATCCCATTTTTAAAATAAAATATCAATCTTTACAAAGAGAAAGAGACTGACAAAAGTGAAAAACTTATTTATTACTTTCTTATTTTGCAACATCTTTCTGTATCTAAATACCTTTGGTGGGTTTGGGGGTGCGCCCTACTGCATCCTCATGCTGTATCTCCAGCACTGCCTTCTTGGCCCCTGCTCCAGAGCAAAACAAGAAGCTGAGAGATGCGTCATCAAAACAGGCCAGACAGGGAACGATGGTCAGCCAGTTGAGAAAACTGAGGTTCCCACTTATTATCAGAACCACCTTGAGCACAAAAGACAAGGCAGAGAGAAAAGATCCAGTTAGTACAGAGAAGGAACCTACACAACACACTCATTAAACAATTCCAGCACATTAGTATGATGAGGAATCTTGGGGACATGAGTACAGCCTTATTTTGAACCAGGCACACAGTAACATGAACTCTGACATACATTGTACATAATAATCTTAAGTCTACAGTGAGACTTAATGCAATAAAAACACAGATGCATGTAACACAAATTTGCTTAAATAAGCCATTAAACCGGTTTAATGTAACAATAATATTTTGCCTGGTCTCCACTAAACACAGTATAATGAAACAGTGCTCACCTACTGCTACTAGCACCAGTGTTTGTCATCGTCAGTTACAATGGGTTGGTAAACAGTTGGTTTTACCTGGAACAGGATCTGGAGTGCACCATTGACCATACACATCCGCCTGCCCAGGAACGTGAAGAATGGGGCAATGAGCTCGATGAAGTGGTTGGACAAGGTCTCGAAGCGATGGAACCACCACGGGGAGCGATGCATGTAGTAGGACATGGGGTTGGGAACTGGCTGGGTCTGGAAAGACATGGAGGGGTAGAGAACGGAGTGGAAAACAAGTCAAATTAATTAATAATCATGATCCTAAATTCATGGATTTTTTCCCCCAGAAATTTACATGTAGGAGAAAAAAATCTGTTAAAAAAGAATCAGTTTCATTATGTGTACTGTCTGCTATGTTCTAAACATAGACTGCTTCTACTGCAAAAGATGGAAGTTTTCTCTGCTTTACTTTGGCACTAGACTCTCACCGTTTAAGGTGTCACACACTGAGGAAACGATTTCCATGCCCAAATAAAGATGGAACATTATTTAAATGAAAGCAACCACACCTACACACACACAAAACACTCAGAGGGCTCATACAGAGCCATGCAGTGCTGGTGTACCTGTGATTCAGTGTGTGTGTGTGTGTGTGTGTGTGTGTGTACAACTGACAATCACTGCATGCAAACGGTTTAATAGCTGAACATGTAAGCACCGTCAGCTGAGGTGATGAAAAATAAATACAGGACAGAATTTGGCAAGAGAGAAAACAAAGAAATGTGTATGCTCATTTGTTTTTGAATGAAACGGGGGGGGGGGGAATTTAACCTGTAGATTACCAAAACACCCCTGGAAATCCAAGGGCAAAGAGCCTGAAACCTCAGACAACCAAACAACCCCATGAGGACTGCAGCTGTATTACAACAAACAAACCGATGCACACAAAACACCAACTATGCTGAAACACACCTATGCAGGCCCCTGAGAGTCAGGACAGGAGGAGAGCTGCTGGTCCTCTGCAGGTTTGAAAGAGAGCAGTGTGTCACAGGGGGGTAAATAAGGCTTCACCTGGCACCAGTGGCTTACAGTGCTTAAGGAGCAGGTCAGAGGAAACTCAACATGGAATAAGGGCCTTATTGTTACATGATTTATCAGGTGACAACACATTTTCTAATGCACGTATTTGCATTCCTTTCCTGCCAGCATGTAACTAGAAGAATCCTCATTACAACCATTTATCTTCATCTTCCCCCTCCTCTTCCTCCGTCTGTGGCAGTGTGGGCCAGAGCGTTTGAGGTAAAAACAATCCAGTAGAATAATACTGAAGAGCAACTTGTAATTTGATAGCTTAGGTGAAATCACTGGTTCTCTGCTGCACCTACAGGGTACCAGCGGTCAGCAAACAGCGTTGAGTTTCTCTTACTTCTTTTGGTCCCACCTGTCACAACCACCCTTGTCTCCTTCTCTGTCGTTGCATTTAAAAATGTCATATGCAACTACAAAATGTTTTGCAAAGAAAACATTACTGTGAAACGTGTTGCTGTGATGAACCCACAGAAAATTATGACCAGATCCCATAGTTCCTTTCAGGTTCATGTGGTGTTTTAGCATCTTTCAACTCTCTTCAGTGTTACAAGGAAGCTCCAGGGAAAGTACAAAGAAAGTACAATTGCTGAATAAAAGAAAGATTTTGTGTTCTTGTGTACAGTAATATGCTCCCACAAAGGCATGACAAAAAATGCACTGGAAAGACACACATGGAGTACATTAAATACACACGTATACAGTAACACACACCTCATAGTGGTAGTCCATGCAGGTGAGGTCCCTCCAGCAGTTGTCGCCTCGGATTTTAATAAGTCCCTGAAAAACAGAGGAAACATAAAAATGTGCTACACTTTACAACACACATTTGAACTGCCTTCAAACTTTACAGCAAGAATCAGTGCTTTTGTAAATCATGTCAGAAGAGCAAACAACAACAGTTCATTAGGAAACAAAGTCATTTAAATCAGATATTTTGCTTAAACTGCCCAAAAGAAAAAAAAAAAATCTTATTAGCATTTACCCAGATGCCTGCGTGGCATTTTGTGAGAAGTACATGCATGCCCGAAAACTCTTATAGCACAGTACCACAGCATAAAAACACATACAGAGTAAAGTTAGTCCTTTAGGGTAAAATATTATTTCACTAACTAGGTTCTTCTAAATAGAGGATTCTATAAACAATGTAATACAGAGCTGGGTTAAAAAGGCAATTCCTTTACCATGAAATCTCTGGTCTTCATGCAGTCCATGTTTTCACATGCCAGCATATTGTCTTTGAGAGGTAAAACTGACATTTGCACACAGAATGACAGTGTTGTCATAAAGCTTTACTTTAAAGAGACAGTGGACATCTCCCTGTTCATTTTTCCAAAATGGGGAATGAGTTTTCTACAGGACAAAGAATAGGTAACAAAGGTAGCTATAAGGTGATAAGGTCTGAGAATCTGCAAAATTGGCTTTATTATTTCTTTAATGACAAATTTCAAGAAATGTTTTATCTGTTGGGGACATTTGATGGTTCTGTCAATGTAAGAATGACATAAAGCCTACATACAGTATGTATATTCTCACACTGACCTGCTAATATGATAATTTACCATGTTCACCATTTTAGTCTTTAATTAGCACACGCTGTGCATGGGGGTTTTGCACAGAGCTATTGCCCACGATTGGATGTACGTGTCTTCACACCTCAAGCATTAGCATTACAAGTACTGTGTAAAACGAGGACTTTACTAGTTGGTTTAGGGGTAAAACAGAGAATTCACTGAGTTGACCGCAGGCAAAGCGACGAAGACATCACATTTATAAGTTATACTGGGTGTTGGAAACGCAGCTAAACATAAATTCATTTCAGTCAACTGCACATTACAAAGTGGAGAGTCAGCCTTAAAGATCAAAACTGAAAGCACAAGTCAGGTTCTCTTCTTGTTGTCTGACCACACTGTTCTGCCCTTCAGTGTTCTCAGTAGTAGTTCACAGATCAGTGGCTCTCTGTCACTCCTAACACTGGCAGTATGACCAAATAAATCCAGCTGTATAGGGTTGTAAGCACTGAACAGCAGCATTCATCCTAGAAATAAAAATATGGCACAGAGAAATAAACTGAGAAATACTTCTGGAGCGCTAAGCCTGTTTATGACCTAAGAAGAAGCACTCTGCTGCTGGAGACACGGTTATCGATGATGAAGTAGCAGGTGATACAGCTGATGGTATTTATTCAACTTTCATATTTTTCATTGTACAAGAGGTTAAAATACTGTAGGTAAATTAAATCCAGATTACAAAATAGCTCAGAGTATGTCTGAGAGGATTTTCCTTTTATAAAATAGTAAACTCAAACTCCACCAGAAATATGTCCTCAACTGTTTTTGACCAAATGAACTAAGTAAACCGTGTGCTAATCCAGGACACAGACTGTCAATATTGACACATCAGCCTGTCATGCGGTTGGCATGGAATGTGGAATAAATTGCCTGCTAACCAAAAGCCAAGACATTGCCCGTTGAGTAGGAACTTGGTTGTAGCTGCTGGCTGTTGGTATGATGTGGCTGAAGATGTCACTGATAGTGCAATTCAGTCATGAGTTAGATCCTAAAATGTCATCAATTACAACCTGATATTCAGACCTCTGACATAAGCAGTCTACCAGAGTACTATAGACAGGATACCTAAGTAAATTCAGTAACAGATGTTGTAATCTGATCTTTGATCAACACCTTAAGCTTAAACAGAGATAGTTTTAACAAACTCTTTTCTACATAATGAAAAGCCTCTCAAAACATATATAGAAACAAATATATTTACCAATGATATTGAAAGCAATATGACAAGTGGATTACTTATAAATGATATTAGTGATCATCTACCTGTATTTTTGGTTTATGACTGCCATTATAGAAAAGAGAGGCCAAAAACAAATCTTTTCTATAGGAGGGTGATTAATGAACAAGCTGTAAGGAGGCTAAAAGAGGACTTAGACAAAGCATATGAACAATTTTTAAATATATTTAAGGAAGTATATGACAGGAACTGTCCTCGTAAGCAG